CATCAATGTAAACTCAAATATATTCAAGATTAAACAAATCTGAAAATACATGATAAATCCGCAAAAATAGAGAAAATACTAAGTCTAAGAACAAGAGAAAGGGAGAGGAAGAAAAATAAAACTCAGTGTAGTCCAGCTTCCAATCTCCAAGAACTTCCTCTGATTCCCCAGAAAAACTAGGGTTTTCTCCTCTCTGTCTGCTGCCCCCAAAAACTAGGGTTTTCACTTTTTGTCTCTGTTCCTCTCCAAACTCCCTTCTGCCCTCTGTATTCTTTTGCCCGGCCAAATTCTATAGGCCCCCCTCAGAGCACGCGGGCGCGCGCCTGAAGTTGGCGGAACGCGCTTAGCGCGCGTGCGCGCGCCTCAAGTCGCGTGGGCGCGGGCGCGCACTGGTTCCCTGATGTGGGCGCGCGGGCGCGCGCTGGTTTCGGGCTCATTTTGACGTTTTTCTTCCAAGTGATCCAATTCTTCTTTGTTTACCTGAATCACTCACAAACATATTAAAACAACCTAAAAACTTGAAGATACAAACAATTATTCAATTTTTGGACATTAAATGAATGAGTTAAAACTCACTCATCAGTAGGTCATAAATGGGTAGGAGGGATCCAGATCCTTTGTCTAATTTTTGATATTCTAATTAATGTCCAATCAATTAAATCACATAACATCATTTCATGATAAATACAAAAGAATTAATCAAAAAATAATTTAAATTTTTTACATGACGTGACATGATATGATTAATTAAACATCAATCAAAACATTAATTAAACATGCGATTTGAGTGAGGGTAATAGTAACTCAACTTTACGAGATCCATTATTTTATAAGGAGTTTCTTTCATAAAACCGTCAAAATAGAACTACCAGTTTCATTAATTATATTTTTTTCAGCCGTCAAATTTAAATAAAAAATTATTTATTCAACATATTTTTTTAATTTTATTTAATTTTAATTAAATTTAATAATTAAAAAATTAATTTTATAAATAAGACAGTCTACACGTGACCGTTCCTATTTTGGGAACGATGGTTATATCTCCGTAGGGTGAAAGTGAAACCCCATCGCATACCTATGCCAGATACGACAACTCTTTTTCTCTCTTTCTGCTTCCCTGCTTTGTTCTCTTCTCTCTATCTGTCTCCCTTGTCTGCTGTTTAATGTTTCTTTGAACTCTCCTCTCTCTCTCTCTTTCCTTTTTCCCACTTTCCCTCTCATTTCCTCCCCTCTCTCTCTCTCTCTCTCTCTCTCTCTCTCTCCTACCACTTGAAAATTCCCCCTGCATCCTCTCTTTTCACACGCACACTTTTCCCTTTCTTTGAACTTCTCTCGCTCATCCCATTCCCATGGAACTCGACCCCTCGCCCGTGACTCCCTCTCCATCTCCGAATTAAAAAAGTCTCCATCTCCCCCAACCGCCCCCTCCCTTCCCTCATGATTTCACCCTCTCTATTCTCCTTTCTTCTCCGCCGCCATCGCCATCGCCATCGCCATCACCATGCGTTCAGCTCAGGTCCAGCAGTCACAGCGCACCGGTGAGACGCCATCGCCGCCGCCGCAGCACCGCCACCACCATTACCAGAGCACAACTCCCTTCCACTCCACGGTCTCCGTACAGAAGCTTCGCCGATTCAACTCCCTCATCTTCGTCTTCCGCCTTGCCGCTTTCTCCTTCTCCTTGACTTCTGCCGTCTTCATGCTCACCAACTCCCGCGGATCCTCATCTCCTCGCTGGTACGATTTCGACGCTTTCAGGTACGTGTGTTTTTTTTTTCAGCTCTGTTTGGTTACTGAGAAAATTTGCGAGCGATTTCGCTTAAAATGTCATAAAATTTCAATAAAATCTGAAATTTCCTCCAAAAGCACAAACTTCCATAAAATTTCCTTTCGCATTCCTCCGTTTTTCTTAGCAAACAAACAGGTTTTTTCTTCAACGATAAATTATTTATTGAATTTTGCCGATTCAGATTCGTATTCGCAGCGAATGCAATAGTAACTTTGTACTCTCTGTTCGAAATGGTGGCTTCCGTTTGGGAAATTTCAAGAGGAGCCACTCTCTTTCCGGAAGTCTTGCAGGTCTGGTTCGACTTCGGCCATGACCAGGTGGTATTTTGAAGCTTTTTTTTTTTCTAAATTATTCATTTTGAATTCTGAAATAAAAAAAATAAAAAAAACAATAATAAGGGGAATGATTGTGTATTTGTGTAGGTGTTCGCGTACTTGTTGCTGTCTGCGGACTCGGCGGGAACGGCGCTGGCGAGAGTGCTAAAGGATGGGATGGACACGTGTGAAGCATCGAACGCGTTCTGCGTCCAGGCAGACATCTCCATAGCCCTTGGATTCGCCGGATTCCTGTTCCTAGGGTTTTCCTCTCTGCTCTCGGGTTTCCGGGTTGCCTGCTTCATCATCAACGGCTCTCGTTTTCATCTTTAGCTGATCTGTTGGAGATTTAAAAAAAAAGAAAAAAAAAGAGAGAAAGAAGTGTTAATTTTAATAATAGCACTTTTGAATAAATTCTTATTAATTTTAGTTTTATTTTTATATATTTTCATAATTAAAATAAAAGTGGGACCATATCATTTTTATTTGAGTTAAAATAATAATTGTGTTCCATTTTATTTTTGAAGTCTTAATATATTTTAAAATTTTTTATAATTCAAATATTCAAAGTAGAGAGAGAGGATGAGGAGAAAGAATGCGAGTGTGCATAGAGATTAAAAAACCCCAACGACCACCATTGTTTACCACCGTCTACCATTTTGAGCACTGACGAACTCGCGATAGTGAGAACTTACGCAATCACATGACGAGAACTGACAAACCTTCGCCGAAGAAATCAACGCCTAAACCTCTCGTTGGAGAAGAACGAATCGAGGAAACTTCACTCTCTTCGCTGGGGAAATCAACTACGAAACAGACGAGGTCAATGGCGGATTTTGAGACAGGTGAAAATTTGGTTTGCTTTTCTTGTTTATTTGTTTTTTTTCTTAGGTATTTATTTATTTTTTTTACCATTTTTTATCATCTTAGAAAAAACGAAAGGTTTTGGAGGAGGAGATGAAAGCAGATTAGGTCAGTTATTTAAAATTTTTGATTGTCATTGTGCTCCTTATTTGGTCTGTGACTTTGCTTGATGGCCGGTCATATCATTAGACCGGTCGGTAATTGTATTATGATCAGTCATAAAAGAAGCACAGCGTGCGGTCATAATACTATGATCGATGGTCATAATCCTATGACCGACCATCAGGCAGATAGGCTCATAGTGTGATTGCCTCATTGATGAGCCTGCGGTCATAGTATTATGACCGTCGGTCATAGTACTGTGACCGCACTATGTGACTGCCTTATGATCAGCCATCAATCATACCACTATGAGCGAGCCTGCATAATGGATAGTTATAGGAATATTATGACCGCACGTTGTGCTTGTCTTATGACCTGTTATAATACAATTACCAACCAGTTATAATGATTTGACCGGCCATCAGGCAGAGTCACAGACCAAATAAAGAGCACAATAACAATCAAGAATTTCAAATAACTGATCTAATCTGCTTTCATCTCCTCCTCTAAAGCCTTCTTTCTTTTCTTCTAAGATTACAAAAAATGGTAAAAAAATAATAAATACAAAAAAAATAAGAAAAGTAAACAGAGTTGTTAACCAAAGTACTATGACTGACACACTAAGAGTTTGACCATTGGACAGGCATAGTACTGTGACCGTCGGTCATAATATATTTTGAAATCTTTTATAATTCAAATATTCAAGGTAGAAAGAGGAGGAGAAAGAACGCGGGTGTGCATAGAAACCAAGAAACCCCAACGACCACAACTGTCTACCACCGTTTACCATCTTGAGCACCGACGAACCCACGACAGTGAGAACCCACGCAATCACGCGACGAGAACCGATAAACCTTCGCCAAGAAATCAACGCCTAGACCTCTTCGTCGAAGAAGAACGAACCGAGGAAACCTCACCTTCTTCACTGGAGAAATCAACCACAAAAGAGACAAGGTCAATGGCGGATTCCGAGACAAAGGTGAAAACTTTGTTGGCTTTTCTTGTTTATTTATTTTTTTTCTTAGGTATTTTTTCTTTTTTTTTTACCATTTTTTGTCATCTTAGAAGAAAAGAAAGGCTTTGGAGGAAGAGACGTTGTTGATAGAATGTGACCCGTCTTCAACAACATATCTTAAGAATAAATTTTTTCTTGTGGTCAAATTCCAAGCACATTTCTCACAAAATCTATAAAACTAATATAAGTTGTGTTAGTGGGGACCAATATCCCCTTCATTTCACAACCAACGTATCTCGAAGCACAGTCTCAATGTCCATTGTACTTGATGAAGACATTCAATCCAACAGTCAACATCCATTCCTAAATAATTTCAAAAACAATAATTGTTAATCAACATTCAATTACTTCTAGTTGTCATCGAGTCATTAGAAATGAACAGTCATAACACTGTGTAATGGTCGGTCATAAGGCAGTCATAGTGTGCCAGTCATAACACTGAGTCATTTCAGTTATAATATTATGACCGGACGGTCATATCACTATGATTACCTTATGGCCGGTCATAATACTATGACTGGACTATGATCGATCATTTTGACTCATACTGTTATAATTTGACTCATATTGTTATGATTGACTGGTCATAGTATTATGACCGGACATATAACACTATGAGTCATAATACTATGACTTTCAAGGTCAACTATGTCTTTGACGTGTTGGTCCTTACAATCAGTTTACATATCAGTTATAAACCATCTAAAATCTCAAATTGACGAAGGATATTTTCAATTCCTATCACATTAAGTTGAACCCAATCATTTTTTTCGAGTTCTATATGCTAAGTCTCTCAAAAAGTAAATTTAAAAATACAAAAACAAAAGAAAAACAAAAAAAATTGTGTACCAACCTCGATCTGGTGCACAATCGGCTATTGGTGACGAGGGAATGAGGGCGTAGGGAAGAGAGAGACCGAATAGAGAAAGAGGCCAAACTTGAGAGAGAGAGAGAGAGAGAGAGCTGAAAATATAGTGTATAGAGAGAGAATGAGCGAGAGATAGTTGAGAGTCTCTTTAAGGTGTTTTTAAATGATAATTTTAACCTAAATGACATAAAAGTCATTTTACCTCACACTGCTGACATAATAATACTAATTGTAAAAATACACAAAAATAATGTTAAAATTAATAATAATTTATTCAAAAATACTATTATTAAAATTAACGTGATGTTTAGATGCTTCAGCGTATAGCCTTTGTTAGGATGTAGATGTGATGTTTGAGTGTGCATGTGACCACAGTGATGTAGTGTGCATGTGACCACGGCGCCAAAAACTTGTTGTAAATAATTTGACTATGCTTGCAAGTGCACAAGTCGTACAAGTAATAAAGTGGTCTGAAGACCGATATCGTCCCACGAGGATTGACGTTAAGAATGTAAACTAACTATTGCGAATATCATATCTTAACTTTATCTAAGCGATTAAATTTGGATGTGATAAACTCAAAGAAAAACTAAAATAAAGGAAAACTAAATCAAAAGGAAAGATGACAGTAATGAATAACACGCGCTGAAATTAAAACGAAAAATCAATATAATGACAATGCTAGGGTCTTGACTTCACTCTATTGCGATTATGTTTCTTTGTAGTAATGTGCCTAACCTAACTCAACGTTCTCAAGAACCTAGAGTGATGTGTATCCTTATACCCTCTCTCGAGTGCCACATAAAGAATGTGTACGTGATATCAAACCTATATCTCTATACAACTATTCACCCCTACCTTCATTAAGTTCTACTCTAGAAATAATTCTTGGAATTCCACTTCTCAATTTCACAATCTAAAATTATTTCGGCTACCTAGGCAATGTTTATCTCTCAACCTCACACCAACCTAAGTTGTTCTACCCATTTCTTGATTGCTTGAACGTTCCCCTCTCAAGTATTAATCCTCACAATCTAAATTTGCCCAATTCAAAATCTCACAAAGCATAGCAATATGTAAATCATAGATTTGGCAGCAACAATTCAAAAAAGAACACAAAAGAAATGAAGAGCTTTAATTAAATGGACATTAAAACGTCGAAACAATAATCACAAATAGAGATTCATCTAAACCCTAACAAATAAGAAAATTAGCCACACATCATGTGGTTCACAGTTTCAAAATAATATTCAAAATCTAGAAAAATACAAGAAGAAAGAGAAGAAAGAACGCTTGGAATTCTTGAAGAACTGCTCCAATTTCAAATCCTTTCCGATTCAGTTTTTCTTCTTTTGCAAACCCTTTTTCTCTCCCATTTTCTCCGTTTTTAGTCTCCCTTTTTATATCCCATGTCCAGCACGCCTCCCAAGAAGCCAAGTCTCACTTTCTATAAAAATCTGCGCCCACAACCTAGGGCAAAACGCGTGTTTTTAATAAAATCAGGAGGCGACATATCGCCTAGAAACAGGTGACATATCGCGGCTCTCGCTGTTATCTGTGCACCAGACTAGGGCAGGCGGCATATCGCCTCTAATCAGGCGACATATCGCCTGGAGGCAGCGACATATCTCCGCAAAGGAAGCGACATGTCGCAACTCTCGCTGTTCCTTTGTACAAGTTTGCTCGATTTTGCTCTTTTTCGAGCCGCATCACCATCTGAAGGCGCCGTATCGCCTCGTTCTCTGTCTTTTTGTTCCAAAATACCTCAAAACTCAGCGATTTCACCCATTCCTACACACTCAAGGGAAAGTCATCAAATCCACATAACAACTTGAGGAAAAACACGCCGAAACTAGCTAAAGGAGTAACGAATGAGTGCCTAAATTATGCACTCATCAAGTGTGCATGTGACCACGGTGATGTAGTGTGTACATGAGAGAGAGATGTGTATTTTTATTTATTTATTTTTTTTTGTGAAGTGCTTGTTAAGTGGAAAAAAAAAACTACTACACGTGGGAGGTTGGAAAACTTCCTGCAAGAAGTGGATGTGTGGAGAAAGAGTAAAATGTGTTAGTGAAGAGTTAAGTAAAAAAATAATGTGGAGATAATCTCTCAAAAGAAAAAAATAATTAATCTTATTTAAAAAAAAAAAGAAAAGAAAAAAGAAGGACGTGGGTTGCTTCAAAAATGCCTATATATAGGCATATAGGAAACGTGAAGAAAAAAAAAAAGCAAAGAAAGAAAAAAAGAGGACTTGATGCGTGTGTGTGCAGAAAGGTGAGAGAAAACAAAACAAAAAAAAAGCAAAAAGCTTGTGTGGGGAAACGTGAGAGAAGAAGAGTAGTGAGAGAAAGGAACGAAAAAGAAAAAAATAAAAGTGTGTGTGCAGGTGAGGGGACGTAACAAAAAAAAGAGACTTTGTGCAAGTGAGCGTGTATAGAGAGAATTATAAAAAAAAAAAGGTAGAAAATTTGTCATTTACTCATTTATCTTAATCTATATTTTGTCTACCCGTTTCTCACAAGAAGCTCATCTGTCAGATTCATGTTTTAA